AAATAGAAAGTCAAGCCTGTAAGAACAAGGTAATATAATTTTTACATATGGAATGTCGACGAAAAGTAATGTTAAGGTCAGCTGGTTGATTGGAAATTCAGCCGCAACTTTTCGAAATTTCCTCGTTGGGAACGAGCGAGCGCGAAAAAACTGACGCGATTGTCCGGGACCATTACTAAATCCGTTCCGCAATATAACCACGAACAGTATCAAATTATTTTTTAAGGTAACGCAACAATAAACAATTTATAACCATGGACCACGTTGCGACTAAACACCCAGCTGTTTTCGCGAAAAAGTGGTTTTCCTTACCATGATCCGTCGTCGTGGAATAAGTACGAAGGTGGCACCTCACTCAACTTCCCGCCTGCGGTTTTCTTTTTGCAAAATTCGAAATACTAACGCTGGTTTCGAAAACGTGGCCGCTTACAATATTGCATTCGCACCATCCACAACACCGGTGAACATTACCACGTGGCTATCGCCTTCACTTTACTCCCAATCGACGCATGCGCCAACCGAGAAGGCCAACCGAATGCGAAACGTTAGAAACACTGATGAATTGGAATGTTTGCCGCGTGCGCAGATGCATTTCATAGTGCACCGAGATTCTTCCCGGTGCGAGAAATCATTCCGTTGTACCAGTTGCGATTATTTTAAAAACCGCGATTTTACCAAATTAAAAAAAATTGGTCCAAGGTTATTTCGACAGAACTTCCCTCGCCCCTAAAACACAATAAAACAAATACAATTTTTTCGAAAAATTATAAAATTTGATTATGCAATTCACTGCGCCTATCACTTTGGATACGTGTAGTGTAACACCATTCGCCTATCATTTGTAAAAAATGGACCAATAAAAATGCAAGTTTACACTTTTCATTTGTTACTATTTGTTTCAACGTATTCCACTAGTGGAAATATCATCGGATATACCACTCGTGGTTCAGCGAATATTTTTAAAATTAACAACAAAACATATCTCTATTAAACATTATATTTTTTAATTTTCCGAGCTCGCATTTGTTGACATGGAAAACGAATCATTCCTAAAATTATTTTGAATGTGTTTTGAGTCAGTATGAATAAAAAGAGGGTTGGTTCATGGCTCTTGGAATAGTCTACCGAATACCAGTCATCACTCATTCAATTGTGCTTGTGATTCTCACTCGCGCTAACGCACTCGTGGAATCATTTGCAAGCACGATTGACATTCGTGACAGTTTGAAAAATAATGGACATAACTTAGCCTACTCGTGGTATTACATATGATAACAGTATTATATTCCCAAATTTTCAGGAACACGGCGTGAGCCGTTCCCGATTTAATCAAAAAAATAAATTGACTCATTCGTTAATTTTTATGAGTCAACCTGTATAAGAAATTTAAAAACTTTTAATACAATGATAAATCACAAGCATAGACTCATCATATTTTGCACATTTTGGATAGGATTTATTTCGCAAAATTTTGAGATGACGTCATCAATTTTTTGGAAGAGGAGAAACGAATACATTTTGCTTAACGATTTACCATAATTACGATAACATTAAAATATTTACAAAATTTCAGAGCATTCGGTTCTGCAGTTTCAAAGTTATGTTGAAAAATATTGTTATTTAGTTTTGATTTTTTTGCAAAAATTCTGGATGTCTAAGGTGAAAATTCGACACGGATTCACACACCACAAGTGCAGCAGTATATTATTTTATGAAATTTAAAAAAAACTTTTTACTACAAATTTTGTAGATGACGTCATCCCATTGGTGGAGGTACGATTAGGGAAATTTTAGTCAGTATTTAACCATCTACATGATATTCCTAATATACACACAAAATTTGACAACAATCGCTCTAGTAGTTTCGGATTACTCGTCTAATAAAAATGGATATAGACAGTCAGACGGAAACGGAAGATTTTTTCGTACTCTAGATGTCATGACACATTGAGAAAATATGAAAGGGACAATTCGGCCGATTGACTCGATTACTATACTTCCTTAACTTACGCTCGGAAAATAAAAATTGATCGAAATTTATTTCGACAGAACTTCCCTCGCTCTTGAAACAAATCCTGCTTCTTTGAACAATTATAAAATTTAAAAAGTGCGAACGATTGAAAATATATTTTTAATGAAAAAATGAACTCTTAGTAATTGCATAGTTACTTTCATCTTTGGAGATAAAACTTATTTGAAATTTGTATATTAGTGTTATTAATATTTTTGGGGTTTTAATTATCGTCATGTTTTAATAATAGACACTTTAAATTTGAACTCAACTCAATATAAATAAAATTTAAACACTTTAGGTTATAATAACAATAACTTATATTTAAAAGTTTGCTTGAAAAACTGCCATAAAAACTGTAGCAATTGAAACGGAAAATACATAAAGTTTAAAAACTAATAAAATTTTATGAAGCTCTATATGACGTAAATTGAGATAGAGTTTTATTTTATTTTCTAAACCGATTACATGAAATACTTGGACAGAATAACTTCAAATTGTTTAAATTTAATAGCGCAAAGAAAGTTATGACGCTATAAACTCAGCTTTGATTGCATATTGTTAATGTCAAGAGTACACACACAATCAAAAGGAACCATGGATTTTGGTTTGTCTTTGATCGCTTCATTTTAAACTCAAACTTTCAATCTGAGGGTAATTTGACAGGACGTAAATTCAATCGAAGACAAATTTTTAAAAATTCGTAGCTGCTTTTGATCGTATTTTTTATTGCTCCCTCGGTATGTATTTCACGAAATTAATTCATAAACACATTGTATTCAATAATCTTGCTGTGAATTGAAAATCTATGCAAACGCTAAATGGAGGGTTATTTCAGTAAATGTAAATTTAACTGACACAAAATATAATATAAAACGCAGAATAATAAACCAGTTTTAAATAACCACATACTTAAACATTTTATGAACCTTCTTTTCAAAAATACATAAAATGTACAAACATTAATACTTGCCATAATCAAACTTTATACTTCTCTCTGAACAATACTTTCGATTTTTTTTTAAACGCTTGTATATATTCACAAAACGTTAATCTAAATTTTAAATTTTCAGTTAATACAATCTGTTCTAAAAATATAGTAAGAGGGTTATTTTTGTATGCACTAAAATTTTATGAGCTGACCATCAGAGATTGAACGAACAATAACAATGTTCGTGACCATTACAAAATAACCCTTTTTGCGAAAATTACATTATAATTATGTATACTGCTGTAAAATAAAAAATTGGAACTCAGACAAAAAAATATCAAAAAACTATTTACAAATGGTAGTAAAACATACTGATTATTATTATACCGTATTTATCTTCACAAGATAATATAATTTTAGTGGACATAAAAATCACATTCTGAGTGTACAATTGTGAATCGTCAAAAATTTTAAAGTTTGTTGCCTTGACGTCAAAATATCCTTTTTAAATAGCTGCAAATTTTTTTATAACTACAATGGCGACGACTGATCTCCACGAGGCAAAAAAGCGCTAAAACGAAAGAAAATGCAGTGATAAGTAATTTACGAAATCCCAATATTGGTTAAAAAAACAATTTAGGATCGTACAGGAAGTGTATGAGCTTTCATGTATTCATCACAGCTTCCCATTATCTGGTTTTTGACCATATGGTCCGTTGTTTAAAAATGCCTGGGGCGCCAGCAAGTGGTAAGTCAAAAAGTGCAACAATCGTTCATACATAAAAATTGTGTATTTGCCAAACAATATTTATTTGTTTTTGATAACGCAATAATATCCAGATTATTAGATAAGAGATTAAATATCTCTGAGTACCTTTGTTTAATAATTTTTTCTCTCTGAAAATAAAACTATTCGTTCTATTAAAATTAGATTTTTTTAATGGGTTAAACACGTGTGGAGATCAGAAATTCTCAGTGATTAAATGTAATTTAAAATTTATACGATTGTTATCAAAGCTTGTTTCTTGATTTAATTTACTCAATTTGAAAAAAAAAAAAACTGTTTTTAGATTTGGTAAAAACTAAAAACAGTTTATGTAAAAATGTAAAATTAGTATACAGACAAAATTGCAACTATTTTATTGTTTTTTTTTTTTTCATAATAATGTAACAATGCTTTTAAATAGACAGGATGGATTCTGAGAAAAAAACAGCAAACAGGATTTTTTTTATTAATTCATTGACGCACCACACAGAAGACATCTTTTGTTCACTTGGTTTATATATTTATATATTCACTGTTATGTTTTATTTTGTACGATTACGTAATCAGTGACTTCAACAAGACCATACAAGCTTTGGCTTTAATCATGCCTCCTCTTATAATATAATATAGGAGTAGTTTTTTAGATGCCTTTAATTAACATATTTTTACAGTTCCCCAAATGTGTCTAATTAAATATAGTTGCCATGTCATTATATAGCAGATTTCATATTGTATAATGTATTTGAAGACCATATTAACAGCCTTATTTCTTATCTATTATTTTCTCTCTCGGCAAAAATCTTGGGACTGCTATTTCAATACTTTTTTTAAAGCCAGATATGGTTGAAACATAATTTATAGGCTTTAGTTACCACCTACTCCACAACAAATTTAAAACTAAAAACCGAAAACCACCCCCTGAAATTATCTTCCCGGTAAACCAGCGCTTTAATTTTCAATCGCCACGCGTCAGCGCCAAAGACTTGCACCATGTCAGTGTCCCTAACCTCGTACGTTCCGAGCGAGCGCGGCGGGAAAACCACCACGGGGGTGGCAAGCGGCGGCGACTTCGCACCGTCTTCGAATGAGGTCGTACGCCTATGGTCGCTCCTGCCTTTCGCCAAAGCGGCAAAGCAGTTGAATGACCGGTGCCGACATTTCGGCCATCAGCAACGCAGAAACGACTGCATTTCTTTTGCGAGTTACAGAAGCCGGAAAAAACCACTGGACCTGTTTACTTTCTTCTTTTAGGCGTGACGATGGCAGCCCGTTTCTAAATCGAACTGAAAAAATTACGGTTTCACCGATACGGAATCAAATCGGGTACTTAGCCACGGTACTTTCACGGTTGATATCGCTACGAAACGCGGAGGAGGATTTGGTGGCAACTATATACAAAAAAAAAAAAAAAATGTGTGTGTATGTGAGTGCATCCGTGACATGATTCCGTCTATTACTGTCGTATCTCGAGTGCATACTTGTTATCGAAGAATGTGTATCAAAGATAACGGTTTGAAAATTGTCTCAATAGGCGACTTCCTTTAAATTAAAAGCTATGTGAAAATATACTACTTGTTACCACAATTCAATAAAATCTTGTCACTAACTTGATTTGCCTGCTTTATATAGTCTTCACATGCGGGACATTTATGAGCAGACTAGTATAAAACTACAAACGAAGGCAGAATAGTAGAATATAGAGTAATTTGCTTGACAACTGGTGGCTTAACAGATCAAAGGGTTGTCACATTTTTGAGGAATAAAAATTTTCTTACTAAATGAAGATGCTACAGCAGACACGTGAGCTCTGTAATGGATGAAGATGTTACTTCTGCGTACCGTAACTCAACACAAGTTTATTCCACGTGGTGAATAAAAACCAGTTTCATAACTTTAAATTCAGTTTACAATCTTAACAAATCATAATATTCATTTTATAAAAGCTCCATTTGTTACTTTTATAATTTTGATATTTAAAGTGCAGTTGTCTGTCTGGTATGTTACTATACAACTACATATATATTTACTGTGTAAATATTTTTAACTTATCTTAGTTTGGCACTTGTTATTTGTGGCATCTGATATTTGAGACAGTTCGAATTGTCCTTGTTCACATACTAAACAACTATTGAACAGGTTACATTTTGTAAGACATACTGATATCGATATGAAACAAGACTCCAAATAATATTTTTTGCCTTAAAACCTGCTTTGTATCATTTGTTCAATTGAAAGGTTAACAATGATTTCGACACAGTAATGTATGTAGTTATTAAACAAGACCCTACAATTAAAGACTCATAACTGGTAAATAATTTTTATTATTTATAAGCAATGTACGACTAATATATTAACAAAACTGTCCTGATTTTTCTTTTCTAGTGTAAGCTGAGGATTTGTTGTAATAGGATCCATTTGAAGAATTTTAAGTTCACTCGACATTTCATAGTTTTTGAAATATAAAAAGTCGGTCTTCCGTTTTCGTCTGTGATTTGATTATCGGCAAGCTTTTAGACACGTAATGTCTGGGCCTACTGGTCGATTTCCGTGGAATTTTGCGTATACTTGAAAATACATATAGATATGTTCAAAAGCCAACCAAAATTTCTTCGTTCACTGTCACCAACAGCGTCATCTCAAAATTTTGACACAAACCTAATTAAAATTGATTGTGCTTTATTAGTCTGTTATTTTTTTACACGAGTCATATACATTTTTGCAAAACAAAATCAAAATTAAGCAAGCACACGTGAAAATTTATCGTCACAACACAAAATCCGTTGCTCTGAAATTCTACAAGCACTTACAACTTATCATAAACATATCAAAATTTGTCTATCCCTTCCAAAAACTTGATGACGTCATATCATTGTTAGATAAAGATGAAAAAATATTATACGTCAATATATACTTATGATCTATCAACGCACACATATTTTTCAACCTAGAGTTGCAGATTTTTGGAAAGAAAATCAAATTTTTAAAACAAAACTTTACTTTCGAAGGAAGTCTTATCTAAATAACTTTAGACCAATTCTTCTTGTGAGACTTGATTCTTTTTTTGTACTAGTCTGAATATATTTCCCAATACTTTATTAATACATTACCTTTTTTTCCACATTCCTATTAATCCAAATTAATAAGAAATATACTTTTCTCATAAAGTAGTTGATCGATTTGACTTTCCCCACATTTCTTTTTAGGTTGGTCAGCTATTTAGTTACTTTTTAGAATTGAAACATTTTTTTTTTATCTACAAATAAAAAATACTGAAATGGAACATTAAAAAGGGCGAAATGCCACCTGCAAAACCATTGGTAAAACTCTTAAATGTTCAATGAAGGCTGGTTTAAATTCAGAGTAACTAAAGTTATTTCTGTTATGATCAAAAAATACGTTCCAAGCTACAAATACTGGAGTTGAAACTGCACCTCAGTAAAAATTCTTCATTTACGAAATTTTAGATAAGATGAAAATCTGGCAGTCTGTGCAACACTTGTCCACTTATTATATTCTAAACCAAAGTTTTTGAGTGACGTAGAGCTTTTCAAATGACCTGAGACAAAAGGTGATACCTAATGTGTAATAATGTAATACATTTGACGATATTGAAAGAACTACAAACGAGGAGAATCTAAGTGCTCAATGTACCCTGCGATCGAAAAAAGGAGAATTGCAGTTGGCAATTATCAATGTCGCAATGTCCACGTGACAATTAATATCAACCCCAAAAAACAGTCAACAGTTGGTTGCTTTTTGTACCTGAACTAAACATAAGTAAAATAATCAAAGATAATTTCTTACTTAATTTTGCCTCATGTGAATTTATAAATGAAACATCAAGTAACAAATTTCACTTACCTTTCAGATATTCACGTAGTTAGCAACTTGTTACCCCTTCCACAAGAGGGTGAAAACAAAGTATATAAATGCCAGAGTACTGCAATAACAGGGCCAGAAATACCACAATTTGATTTTGAGCGAAAATGACCCTTACGGCACTCACCCCTCACCATCGCTAGTTGGCGCATTGTTTGAATTAAGACAAAAATGATTGCAAACATGAAATAACACTTGGAAAAGTACTACATCATTAACTACATTCGTTTTCTGTTCACTATTTTCCAATTAACTTCAAGATTGACTTAAAACAAGCAGATTTGCAGATTTATTTGGAAGAAAATTAAATACCAACCTTTGAGGAAATTCTTTAGTGCCACAACCATTACTACCAACACAAATTTACGTTTAGCGCCTACTTTTCCCAAGAAAACGCACCAAAACGGTTGTTTAGTATTTACTCATTTCCACAATTTTGACCTCTATGTACTCTTCGCTAAGGGTCACGGTCGGTTAAAATTAACGACATCGAAGTTGTCACTTCTCTGGCATTTTCTCATTTTAGTGAAATAACGTGAAGCACAAACACTACTTATTTGATACTTCTGCACAAATGGCACGAAAACGTATTGACATTGACAAGACACAAATGTTGACATTTCTTTCCAGCGCCAACTCTAACCCCTTTTTCAATTGAGCGGTAAAGAGATTATTTTCTCACCATTTCTCCAGCATTTTTCATCATGTAGTAACTAAATTGTCAAAACCACGTCAGCTGGGAACGATAAAGTGTAGTTGAAGTGGTTAGAATAAAAGGAAATCGCTCTGCAAAGCCGCAAAATCTATTCAATGGCCGGCAATCCGGGCAAAAAATTTCACGCTTAAATTTCAAATATTCAAGTCATTGCACCATTTTAATCTGTTCTTCTCCAGTGATTCTTCTTCACACTTCGCACACATAACGCGGACTGAAATAACTTTAGTAACAAGCCTTTATTGTTATTCACGCTGCCACAACTCGATGAAATAACTAAAATAACCAACGTTTCCGGAATCCCCTGCCAAGACCTCCTCTCCTTCACCCAATTGTTTTTAAAAATTCCTTTCCAGTCATCAAAATAACCTAATTTCCCATCAACCTTAATTACATCTGCACGCCATACATCAATGTACATAAACAAGTGTCAGGCACACGTTATTGGTGGCAACGTTGTGATTCACGCAATAAACATCGTCGTGGGCAATTATGGTGTTTTCGGCGGCTGTCCTCCCAAATGGGGCGCCGAAAAACCGAAAAATATTGAAGCCGGCCACATTGCAATACGTCTGCAAGACGGTGGAGGAAAACTGGTCAACTTACGTTGCGTTAGCGGTTGCTGGTGTTGTCAACTGCTCGTACGACTCGTTGACTCCTTGTTCTGGAGATTTGTGACGAAAAACTGACACAAATGTGTTGGAAAACTTGGAAAAATTCGGCAGATCACTCTCCACGTGCTCACAATGTTTTCCACACAACTCCAATATGGCTGATGTCAGTCGGTGAAGTCGGTACGTACGAACGCGAATCGGCTTCGGAAACGTCAACCTAATAAGGTTACTGTTGATGTTTAGTCCCGTGGCGACATCAGACGGCGAGGCACGTACTTTAACTTTCCATAATCTGTAGTCTATATAAAAAAATATTTTAATTAAAAGTAGTGGGAAGTATTTTTATACTAAATACTTTTGGCTTTAAATGTGTAGCTGATTCCGATGGGCTTAAATAACAAATAGGAACGAACATAAATAATGTATCAGACAACTTTTGCATTCTTACAACTGCCATCATCGTGATACGACGCCGTCTCTCTTGTCTCTGTTGAACAAATTACCAAATTTATGCAGTCGTGACTGCTGTCAAAGACAAGAATATGAGCAAGACTACTTTATACAGCGCCATCTGTAACACGAATTCATAATAAAAAGCAAATACCCATCCTGAACACCAGGGAAAATTCAAAAAGTGGATATGACTACAATACTTTTCTTAAAAACTATCATAGTAATCTGATCAGAAGTTAGAATAGTATTACAGCAATTAAAATCTTGTTTGTGTTGGTAACTCCAGCCACAATGTAGAGATCATCAATGATTTTTATAGGGTGCTGCAGCACCGAAGTAATCCTGTTGTACAAAGATGGCAACACTTTATACATCCTCTCATTTAGTCAGTCTTTAAAAAGGAATATTATTGTTCTACATGGTTCCAACCGTTCCAACCTTAGATCATATAATAAATTATTATTATATTGCATGATCTAAGGGTCCAACAACAATGCACTTCTCGAACATTTGTAAAACCATTGTCAATTCAGCAAAAACAAGAAAAAAAGTTAATTTATACGTATTAAATACGGTTGTAAAAATAAGTCTCATCAACCACAAAGTCTGCAAAGATATATTAAACGAATTAATTCTAAAGGTAAATGAAATTGCAAAATGAATTTTGTTTACAAGGAACTAGTGACGTAAACAACATTTTAAGTTTTACAAAATTTCAATTATAAAATGTTACATCAGTTTAGGATAAAATGGGGGAAAATTTAAAATAATTATAATGGGTTGACGTATTGTTTTGTTGTTGTTTCTTCTTCAAGACAGTACAGATAATTAAAACTGGCATTTTTTATTTCCCAAATGCTGTAACTGAGATATAAGCATGAGCGCCGACAGAAAACTTTCTCAGGGCAGGCTACCCTTAAATTTTTGTAATATATTGTCTACCTGGATGCATATAAGGTATAAATAAATGATGTACATCTAGTGGACTATGAAATTCGTTTACGCCCCCTATGAATATAAGACAAATAACACTGGTTTACAAGGTTTTATATCCGAAGACAAAAATAGTTGAATCTAAAGAATTTGGGTTCGGCAAATTCAAATCTGAAAGCAGAAAAAATCACGTCAGGTTTTTGAGATATTTATATAAATATACCCCGTATTTCTTTTTTTTTATACTTTTGTAACTTTTTTATTTTTAAATATAAACATATAGTTCTTTCAGAAAATTTGTACCATTTTAAAAGATCATTTACGTAAATAAATGGCATGAGTGTCAATTTTTCAAGCTACTAGATTGTCATCAATAAATATGAGTTTTTCGCTTATTTTATTGAATATTTTTTAGTATTGATTTTAGAAGATTGGTTGCTTTTGATTTTTCTACCGGACGTGATAATAAAAATGTGAGGTTGGCATCACGCAGATCTTTTAAAATGATATAAATTTGCTCAAAGAGCTACAGGTTTATCTTTAAGAATAAAGAAGTTACAGGCGTTGTATCAAATAAAAGCAAAGTTCATTATTTTGGATTTATGGAAAAACCTGACGTGATAAGGACTATCCGTTTTTGCACGTGTTCTCAGTAAGTAATTTAGAAGTAAAAAATAATTGTTTCAGAAAAAAAGTTTAAATTTGTAAACTAGTGTGATCTTCAAAATACTGGTTCTTTTACAGTGAGGACCAGTATTACTTCTCTGTGCTTTACTCAGTCTCTGATTTTTAACTCTATATGTGTAGTCTTTTGAAAAAAATATAATTTTACAATGTATGCCAGAAACTAATTGTTTTGGAATTTTACACACGCCTAAAGGTTAAATTAAATATTTGTGTAGATCTATAATGTTTTATTGTTTATAATAATTGTATGTCTAGGTACCTCAAATTTTGAAAATTATTCTTAAAATGTGTAATTGTCAACTACGAGCTACGAAGCATACGCGCATATTAATAAAGATTTATCTACTTACGTACCAAAAATTAAACTTAAACTGTATTATTATAGATTATTTGTTTGCTTAATTATACATAGGTATATCTCGAAATTTTTACTATGAAACTAATTATTATAGGTAATATGTGATGTTTTTTATAAGAGTTTTAGTTGTTGTTAATGTACCTCGGTAATATGTACTCTTAAATAGAATTTTGTTATAAAATACACTTTTTTTGTAAACTTGAGTTTTTATTTAAAAATTTTAATAATAATAATAATAATGATGAAGAAGTGTCCTGATTTTTTGTTTCGAAAATGTGGTCACCTATGAAAAAGTTGTATGGGAGACATATCGAACACCTGCTTTCGCGCGTTTTGGCGACTTATTTGAACGCTCATATTCATTCGTCGAGGGATAATCCTTTAGCGAAATGTTTAGTTATAGTCGCCAGATTAATGGAAATTCTCAGTTGACGCATTTTTAATTTAAAACTGTTAACATTTAGAAAATTCACAATTAAAATTCTCTATTTTTTGTTTATCTTATGTTTTCAAATTTATGATTTTTGAGCGGATTTTGCGTGTCCTAAGATTACACAATATTAATCAACGTGATGCTCACATTTAACAATAAATATCGATTATGGTCAGTTAGATTGATGTATTGATCACTAGATGTCGTCTGTGTACATTTGACGTAGGTTTGTGTTGCAGATTTAACTACAAAAAAGTGGAGATAGCTTCTTCATATTCAGTAACAGATAGCGCCAACTTAACTGAAACATAATTTTCCATAACCGATCACTAGATGTCGCCTATTTAGACAATTCGAACCGCTGGTTCAACCGCCTGAAATGACTAGAATTTAAATTTAGTCGCCCATTTAAATTTTTATAATATGATGACCATATGTGAGCTTCATAAAACAAAAGAAAATTAAACACCATTCTTTGGTACGGGCAACAATACACAAAGGAATGATATCTATTGTCTGTTTGTGATATTAAATATTAATAACAATTAATAATGCAGATGAGAAAGTACCAATTTAGCTAATGAAAACTTAATTTACATTTGTTAATAATATGGTAGTAATTCAAACAATAATCCAGCGTAGTTTTTATTTTCGTCTACGAGTATTATGAAATAAGGCAAAAATTTTAAATTAATTTTACAATGTTCTTCCTAATTGTATCATTTCGAAGTGAAGCAAAACGCCTTATGTCACCACAGAATTGTTGACATTGTTTTCAAAAAGATTGATTAACTGATATAAATCAGTCATATTTCTATCTAGACATCCTGTTATTACTAAAACAGATAGGTGCATCAATATGTACTGAGGTTCGTCGATCTACCGTTTATTGTTGATAAGTTGATTGGAAACGAGCTTTATTTAGCGTGTCGGAGCGCTAGCTGTCATAATAAAAAAGTTCCATTTATTCTATTATTAAAAACAGTAGCACAAAATGGAATAAATAATTGAAAATTCAATAGTCGCGCATCTTGATATAAAGTAAAATAGTGCATAAACTGTTCTACTTATGTCAAAGCATTGTCTTAAATTTTGCATTGTTTGTATATGTCGAGATTGATAGATAGGCGGTAAAACAACTTCAAAAAGTGTATATTGTGTTCGGTACACACAAACCCACAAATATGTTGACAATGTTGACATTTCGAAGATTTGCTTCAACACCTGCACCGATAGAGGGAGCCACTTTCTGAAAAAATCGAATATAACGCCGTGCGTGTAAAAAACACAGATTAGAAGTAGAAGAAAAAACATAGAAAATGTACATGAACAAAGAGATTAAAGGTGAGGCATAGCCAAAACAAATGATTGTTAGAAATAAAAAAAACTGGTAAATTAGTAGTAAAATTTGAGGTGAAGGATATATTGATAAAAAATAAGGCATGGGAAAAATTGCATCAACTGTAGAGAAAGGTATTATGAGGAAATGGATATATGAGGACGGTGGGTACCTATGCACAAAAAAAGGTCTAGGTACAATAACAAACATAAAGCAAACTGTGACGTAAATTTTAGATTAATTGATACAAAGAGAATATCTAGCGTGATGCGAATGAACGATAAGCATGTATACGATTTTGAATGTGATAAAATCTAGGAAAAACACACGAGTTTGAGGCAAATATGAGCGGGAGGCGGGAAAACAACAACATGGTTGGGAGGGGTGAAAAGCGCCTGGTAGGAATTCGTTACGGGTACCAGCAAATACAGTGTTTAGCAAAATTTGTAAATATTAGTATAAGATTTAACTTGTGTTTTTTAGAGGAAATATTAAGAATCCACTTAATCCCAAAGGAAGAAATAAACGAAGTTAAAAGAAATAAAATTCAGTTTTTTATCTTTCCGTTTGTGTTTTTATTTAATCGAAAATTCATCATCATCCAATTTAGAATATTAACAACAATTTACTACTTCATCTTTTTTTTATTATTACTAGATTTAGTCGTATCGACAGCTTTGTTGCTTCATGTTTTTTAAGACAAGGCATTTATAATAGGTGTCTGAAAGAAAAAAACAGGAGAAGAAAGTAGAAGGGGGACAACCCTAATTAATTAATTATTAAGATGTACGAATAAAAAGTGTGAATATTTTAACTTTCTTGCTAAGGTTACATGGCGGAACTAGCCTTGTAAGATAAAGCTTCTACAATTAAAACGATTCTTAATAATTCAACAAAAAATATGAAAAAAATTAATTGCTTCAAAGCCGCAAACGATGTAGCTTCCATTAATTGGACCTTTATAAACGATATTAAAACGTGCTTCAACTTATGTAATTAAAGCCGCAAAATGAGGTTAGTTTTTAGTATAGTTGCAAACAAATCATAATTATAGTTTATGATACAGCCAATATATCAAATGTTATTTAACAGGAAATGTTTTGCTTCTTAGCGGCGATCTGTAGTAAATTTAATGACATGTTAAGTATTGTACCTAAATGGTTTCGGAAGTATTAATCAAGTCTGAGTTTTGCCACAAATTTATTTTTATTTCCCGAAAACTAAAAACTTTGTTAATTTTTTCAAAATACAAATCGCAAAGATATTTTTCAT